TTGTGAGCAGACGACATTCTGCAGTCTAGGAGCAGCGATAGGTTCTGTCAAGACTCCGATCGTTGTATAGAGAAGATTGGAAATTCCCCTTTGGCGGTGTGGGTGACATATGAGTAAGGACTTACGAGTCGTTTAACCCGCTACACCCGGACAAGCTGCAGAAACGTCGCCATTTGGAAAGAGTGAGTCTTGCCATTCGCTTAGTCTAGGCGTTGCCATCCTTGCCTGTATTCTGTGGACTATTCGAGCTAAGCTCACTCCCGTTATTGTCACAGGGAAAACCCGCTATATGCAGACTATGGTGGATTGTATATTATCACGGGGTAAAGGCCGCTGACCAGAGGGATGTTCTGCATAATAATCTGGTAAAATGGTTGCTCTTCAAACCATCACTTAATTTTCTGTCATAATTCAATTTGTTTGAGCATTCTGAGTAACTTTAATCCCCATCCAGAACTCTCTTAGGACAGGGTATCACAACCCTTGAGTGCAGTGCATAGTGAAAAACTATGCAATCCTAGTCAACTTAAGCAGAAAATCGACGACAGACTAGATAAATGTCAATCTACCAAAGAACCTAACAACAGAGTGGCTCACTAAGATCTTAAGCATTTAACTGACCCTAAAAGCTTCGACTGTTAATTGTCTATCGGAAAAGAGGCGTATTTGTGTATAAGTTCAGGAACCAAGCAACTGATTTTTAGTCTGACCATCCTCTGTACTTTCCTTGTGCTTCGAGGAAGCAAGGCAGGAAAAACAATCCTCCTTTTTCAACAAACTACCTCGCGGGAAGAATCATGTGTAGTGAGGATATCCTCGTTATACCACTCATGCTCTACTAGAATAAAATAGAAGGCTGGCATAAACGAGTCATTGATGACATTCAACGCTATTTAAGAATAATAAAGGAGAACACACTCATGTTTGTGAAAAATCAGAGGTTCATTGAGTATGTGGTTCACTTTCATGGGTCGAACGAAAAACTACACAGTACCTACTCGACTCTAAAGAAGATTGAACATTTCAGGATGAAGTTAGAAAGAGTGTAAAAGCGCCTTGGCAACTTTCCTCAAGGACTTCGTATACACCAATCGGAAAGAGTTACTGAATGATCAGCATTATTCGTGCCCTGCTATTAGACAATTAGTATTCAGCAACTTATTAATTCAGCAACATTCAGTGATCGGAGGTGTTACCAAAATACCCATTGAAAATCAATTGTCATCCAGTTACTTTATTTGTCCTAGAGATCAGTATCAATCAAGTAGTAGCATCACCAAAAGACACTGAGATTAGTTTCGATATCCACGCTTGCCCATGAATGTAGTTTAGCAATTCCCGATCAGTGGGTCAGTCTTGGTCAATCTCAATCAGATAGCTCTCAAAGAGGTTTTTCAGTATCAGTATGTCAGTGTAGTTGGTTTCAAACGAGGAGATTTGTCAATCTTTGTAGTCCTTACAGAGTTCGCAGAGGGTACCATCCACGACACGTGAGTCTATTTGAAAAAAGGTAAAGAAACTCATGAGCACTTTGACTCATTCTGGGTCTCGACAACCAAATACCTTGAGGGGAAAGAGAGGGAGCTAGATAAGAGTGGTGTCAAGCTGAAATGCAACTTTGGACTCAAGCTCTACACGGATTATCCCAGACCTCTTGTCGCTTTTTCTCTCACAGTCGGCTCATATTGGGTTATTTGGTAGATCTGGCCAAAAGGTATATTTTTCCTGCAGCGATTGATTACGAGGTGGTGACCGAACCCTCCGAGTTTCGACATCTTAGACAAGGGATTTTCTCTCATCCATATCTTCCTACTCTATGGAAGGAATTATGTGTTATAGTTGACTTCCGTATTGTGGGACTTGCCATGGATGAAAGTGCTCTGAGGTTGCAGGTTTTAGTTGACTTCACATTCAGAGGCCACAATCTCAAGAGTTACATAGGCACGAATCGAGACACAAGAGACGCACTGTCGAATGAGAGATTGATGAGGAGACTCTTAAGGGATGAGTGGGGACTCTTGACTAGCGTTGGCCGTGTCCACTTATCTGTACTTTATGAGATTATTATGAGTTTTCACTCTACCCTCATTTATCCTTGTCTGTCTTGAGTCAGTCAGTCCTGCTTAATTTGCATTGACTCTACTTGATGATTGTGTTTTTTGATGATTTTGTCACAGTTCTCAAAATTAACAAATTGGCCAAATCGATACATGCATGACACACCAGAATTTCATGTTTATTATTCGTGTGATCTTTGCTGTTCCGAATCAAAATAAAAGATGATATGACACACTAGAATTCCATGTTTATTATTCGTGTGATCTTTGTTGTTCCGAATCAAAATAAAATATTCCTAAGACTGGGACCGGCGAAGACCGCAATTAAAGGGTCTCGCTCGAAGCCGGACACAACGGGAAGGGATTTGCTTCAATTAATTTATTTTATTTATTGCAAACTTTCAGCAAAATACTGCATGAGAGTCTGTTGGCTTTTTGGTCGCTCAAAAAGGCCTGACTGAAAAAAATGTGACACCGGTCGCACTCGCGGAGGGCCAAAAAGAAGCGGGTTTTTCGTTCGTGGTGTGGTCCTTCAAAAACCATACGGACACTGCCCGACTTTCCTTTTCTTGTGTAGCATACTCCGCTTTTCATGTAACGAAAAGTAGTGCGTCGACTTTGCCGCAAAACGCACTCCGCGATGGGATCCCCAGAAATGCTTTTCCAAGCTTTCTAAAATAGTTGGTCCGATTTTCGTGGGCAAACCACTTTTCCATCTGCAAAGTTGTGGGGTCCTTGCCTAAGATCAAAAAATCATGCGGGAGAAGGTTCAAGGCCCAGGGAATCTGCCTCACCAATGTCAGAAGTAGAAACATCACGATGATGGCCTGCAAAGAAGAAACATAAAGCAAAGTACCCCCGCGCAATCAGCTCTTATAAAATTCAATGGTAGCTGACATGTAGGTAATGAGAATGGCGCAAAGCACCATAACTTGAAGTACGACTGGCCAATACCCTACAGGTGTTTCCACCGCTCCGTCAGTGTACCTGCCATCTTCAAGGGTAGCATCCGTTTAAGAATGCAGAAAACAGACTACTATCTTAACTCGTTCTATTAAACTTTCCTCGAAAAAATGGGTTCTCGCCAATCGCTGGATTTTTTTGATTGAATTTTTACAAATTTTAAAATTTTGAAAACATCAGCAAATTTCCGAAAAAAAGTAGGTTGTAAAACATTGCAATATTAACAGCGTTTGCCTGAGGACCATGTCGAAATTCACAACTAAATAGTAAATTTAAGAAAAAAATAAAAATAAGAATGAAATATCTCTTTAGGGCATTTGGAGGTGTTGTCTGATTTCTTAAGAATTTCGAATTTTCAAAGATAATAAAAAGATCCGAAAAACAACTATGTACAAAATTGCAATACAAACAACTTTTGCCCGAGGGTCTTGGAGAAATTGCCAACCAAATTCGAGAAAAAAAAAAAAAAAAACGACGTTGGCTCCTACAAAGTTGTACCCTAGGACTGGTTATCGCCGAATACAACGTACAAGGACCCTACGTTTTTTCCGGGTAGTCTATATTGTCCTAACCACAAAGTAGTCCTAGCTCCACGGTACCGGACCAGAGAAAACAGGCCCAAAGACCAAATCAGCAGCGGGTCCCCCGAATGGGATGGGCCCACTTATTCGAAATGCCGAACAGGTTCCCACCAGATTTCCAGCTCAAGTTTTTTTTTTTTTTTTTTTCAGGGCGATGGTGTTGAGGTATTGTCATCGGACTAGCCAGCCCAGGTAAATTCAATATCGTGTCTAATCTGACATTGGGTGGCCTTTTCAGCCCAGGGTGGCCTTGATTGCCTTCAGGGAACCCCCAATGGGGGACACCGGCCAGGGGACAGCCGGTAGCAGAGGGACGGAGCATCATCTGAGTGGCCAGTCGCTGAGTGGCCAGTCGCTGTGCCTTCCCGATTACCCCTCCCCCTATGAACATCAGCAGACACTGCTTTTTAATGCCAAATGGGGGGACCAACGGGCTATCTCTAGGTGGCGGGCGCCAAGCATGCCCAGGAAGGTACATGAGGCCAACGGGGATTGAACCCAAGACCTCCTGAATGCCACTTGCGTGCCTTACCAACTGAGCTAGGCCGCTGGATCCAGCTCAAGCTGTAAAGCCCCGGCAGAACGAATTGTAATTCTGCAAATTTTGAAAAATGATGTCATCACCCTTCAAGATACAATCCTTGTTTTTATGCATAGCCTGACAGTACACCTTCACCGGAGCGACAACCCCGATACGGCCACTCCAGTCCAGTCCTTCACTTGGTGCGAGTAAAGTAGACCACTTTTCTCAGGGGTATGGCTAACTTTGGAAAACGTAGTGAGTCGTTATCCATCAGTCAAATGCATCCTCACAAGACTGTCGTGGCTCAACCTCCTGATGAGTCGGTGAAAGTCCGATGAACAAGTCCCGAACAGTCGTGCTTTTTTGTGAAGTTGTGTATAGCGAACATGACACACAGACACACACAGACACACACACACACACACACACACACACACACAGAGAGGAGGCAAGATATAACGCCCGGAGAGAGAGAGAGAGAGAGAGAGAGAGAGAGAGAGAGAGAGAGAGAGAGGAGGCAAGATATAACGCCCGAATATGGTCCTGTGATACGCACGCCTCGTACTCTCAGCCAGCTATCACACCCACGAGTAGCCTCAGAACGATAATAATACATAACCCCTTCCGTGTAATCGTTTTAGAACAAATTAGCGAGAGGTGCGCCGTGTAATCTGATGAGAGCTGCAGCATCTCATTACTCCCATGCTGCTCCCAATGGTAGTTCGCGCTTGGCCTGCATATTGGTATTCTTTCAGCTCTCTATACAGTCTCTTCAGCTGATTTCTTCTCAACGATCTTTGCGGCGTTTGCGCGAATATCCTTGCCACAAGTATGTATCTCTTTTATGCTCAGATGTGAAAAAGAAACGTGAGCAAGTCAGTACAACGAAATTCATTACACCGAGGTACGGTCAAGAGAATGTGAGCGCGCGACTGGTTCGAGGTGACGAGTCTTATGAGCAGGAAGTTTCTTCGCAGGCGATATTAGACTCCTAGTCCGACAGGGCCGCAATGAGTGCTGCACCGCGCATGATCCAGTGACTTGCAGGTTTATCAGTTGGAATTCTGATGCTCGTCAGGAAGTTCGTAGAGTGGCCTGTTGTGGCTAGGATCCCTTTACGCTCAGTTGTTCGATAAACCGGGCAATCATAGCAGTGACGTGTGTGTAAGTCCCTTGCTGGAACGGGTTTCAACCACATAACGGGCGCCGAGGCGTAGAGTCTCCCAAGTTTTGATTCACAGAGCATCTTAGTGTGCTCGTCCCAGGAGCAGCCCTCGCAGTGGAGGCCTCGAATATAAACCCCTTCTTCTGGCCCGACAGGGTAGTTGTTATGGTCCATGTCTAACATCTCGGAATCGAACCCGACGGTGTCGATCGGTATTTTGTACTTTCGCGCGTAGTTTTGCAGTGTAGCCGTCAAGAAGGACTGAGCGAAGAAGAAGCCGGATATCCAATGAACTGCGGGCCTTCCTCGTTCGTACCACGTTTGGAGCGCTTGAAGCCTGGCAAGAAGGTCTGTAACGTACGATCCGAGTGGCTTGAGGGAGGGATAGGATACTTTTAGCCACACCTGGGGTACCTGGTTGAGGGTAAGGCGACGATATGTGGTTTCGAGGTCGGTCGACATCAACACGAGCCCCTGCAGAGCCTTAGCGAGAAGTTGAAGCGACGTTCGCGCAACATTCAGCAGACGGTTGTACCGGGACATTTCTTGGCACAGTGTTGTGTTCATGCTCTCCTCATACAGTATCGGAAACTTCTTCTGACAAGCTTCTAGATCAAAGTTTTGAGGCAGTTTGTTAAGGATGTCCCTCGCCAATTGCACGACGTTATCTTCAATCGTTCCCGCTAAACCTTTCCCACCGCGTTGTATCGAAGCTGGTTTTGCAAGTTTGGTTCCTTTGCCGGCTGGGTTGATCCCAGGCCTGTTCCCATCGTATGCAGCGGTTATTACCAACATTGAGCCCAAAAGCTGGCTGGTATCATGCATATCCTTGCTGATATTAGCATTGGGGTGGAGGCCGAAGGCCTCTGGATCGGCGACCAACGGTAACGTTTGAACGTACTCGATGTATGACTCTCGCGACCCTGCTGAAGGAACGTAATATATTCCGGATTCCGATAGCCTGTAGTTTGGCCGCAGTATATCCAAACAATAGACCCGGCGCAGAATGGTGTGGAGAAGCGTTCTGTCCCTATCATCTGTTACTCGGCCGCCGTAATTGCATTCGCCAGTTACATATCTGAGGGCTTCTAGGGGCAGCTCTCGGGACATATGTTCTGGGTTCTCGCTGTCACTGTCGCGATAATCTCGGCTGTCCTGAAGCAACCCGTTGTTATCCTTGACCGTATTCTCATCGTTGTACATCGTTGCCGCATCATCGATGAACATCTTAAGCTGACGCGCACTGATCCGAAAATCCCCATCATCAAAGCTATAAGGAATGTTCCAGCCTAAGGGCCCGAACCTTCTTCGCTCTTGAACCACGGCGTGGAGAAAACAGAGTCCAAAGAGAAGTGCTTTAAATGATTTGGGTCTTTTCGACGTTTCGAAAAATTCGTCTGAGGCAACGGGGTCTAATCCGAATGATCTTCTCATGTTATTCCGCAATCCCTTGGGAGGCTCGTTCGTCATTTTCACGCTGCTCTGCAGGATGGACACAGGGAACTTTGAGCTCGGATAGGATGTCATCCAAAGTCGGAAGTCAGGATGGACTGTTTCTGGATTGATGTTTTCAGTCAAATTCTCAAGCGACGGCATCCAGGACGGCGCCAGATGGCAGTTCTGAAGGAGCACCCAGGCACCCGCCAATACAGCATCGGCGATAATGGCGGCGGCCTTGGGTCCTTGTCCTTGACCTAAGGAGATCGGGTAAATTTTATCGGACATATCTCGTTCGTAAGCGAACTGCAGCAATCCAGACGTGGGATCACTTCCCGATGATAGGACGAACAACAGTGGGCAATTGGGTGACGATTCCGCGTAGCATGCGGCTAAGCTGACAGCAGGGTGCTCCACGAACTGGCGGCCCATTATCTCGACAACGAAGTCCTGCAGAGCTGAAGCCACTTTATCAGGCCTGATGCATCGCACAATAAGCAGCTTTTGGAAGCTGCTGAGCTTGTCATATGGCTTCGGAAACCGTATTCTCTGTGGCTCTGGCCCAATACTTATTTCCCTCCAGTCACGCTCGTGAGTGGGGATGGACAAAGCCAGCCCCGAAAAACCCGGCAGCCTCGCTAGGTGGCAAACTTCTTCCCATTGCTTATCTGACAGCCAGTCCTTCGCAGGGTTCTTATATTCACCAGGCCCTCCTATCGATCCCATGACAAGGAAGGTCAACTCGTCCTTATCTACTAGGCCACGGCCGCCGAGGATGCGTGTAGTCAACAAGAACCCGAAAAGGAGTTTGTCCTTCTCAAAAAGCGAACGACACACGTTGCAGTAGAGGGAGTACGTGAAATGCTTATGGATGTGTTCCAGCCTCTGATTCACAGTTGCTGCCCGAGAACTTCCTGCAACGCTCAATACGAACAGGTTAATGAACCATGCAAGGCTGTACTGATACATGGGATCGATCATGACCAGATCCGAGATGCAGAAAAAAAGAGTCGCCGTGTAGTCACCGCATAACTTGTACACTCTCCGTGCATGGTCTATTTTACGCTCTGTCTGATCGGCCAGAATCTGAACACACAAATCATCCAGATCGGAAACCCAACGACATTGAATTTTGAGATTTAGAAACAAACGGCATCGGGGATGGCTTGCAAAATCACTGGCTCCCGTATCAGGCCGGCTGCCCAAAGGTCAACAAATGAAAATTCCCGAGTTGATGTCCAAAGGCCAGACATTTAATGTCGATAAATTCACGAATCTTAGTACCCTGGCTGAGTCCCGAGTCCCAGCTCCACGTCCCAGTCCTGAGCCCCAGGTTCCAATGCTGAGTCCCAGTTCCAGGTCCCATCCCAACTCCGAGATCCCAGTCCCAAGTCCCAGTCCCAGGTTCCAGTCCTGAGTTCCAGGTCTCAGATCCTAGCCCCCAAGTCCCATTCCATTTTCCACTAGTGGTTCCAGCCACTTGTACCATATTCACGAATACTCTAGAATAGTTTTCGTCTGTACCAATATTGCAGAGACCTACAGGTTAGTTAAGTAGACCATAGGAAGTCCCTGATGGATAACACTTATGGGTAGAAGAGTCTATTTTTAGAAGGTATTATTAGCTTCAGCCAAGATCACAAGAGTCTTTAGCAGCAGAAGATGTCTGGCAGGCAAATCATCAAGTATAGAAGCCCAGCAGCACGTCAACACAACATGCTTCACACTCAATGCACAAGGGCTGTGACGATCTTGTGCAACTGAACCAGTGAGAGTGAGTGTGCAGCACTGTACTCAAGGGCGTCGGGCACCATAGCCATAGCTGTTGAGTGTATGTGCACAGCTACCCACGGCAAAGCAGCAAAACAAAGAATACCGTGTTGCCCACCAAGTACGGGTCATCCCAAACTGAGTGTTCTAGACAAGCTCACTGAAAAGAAGATCATTACGGAATCCAATCTACAGGCAACCTACCCACCTGCAGAGAACGTGGAAGATAATTAACTCAGGAATCAATTGTCTATGACAATAAGGCAGAAAGCAAAAGACAGTGAACAGCAAGGCAGAGAGGCAACTAGGCATTGGATGACAGACAGAAGCAAGGCACATAGGCTGGAGGGCAAAGGGAACGCGGGTGGGCAAACAGATGAACACAAGGCAAAAGAAAAAAGGGTAGACAAAAAACAGTGAAGGATAGAGCATGAGGCAACAGGCATGTGAAGATATGCAGCGGTAAACAACAAAGGCTGGGGGGCAGGGGGCAGGGGGCAGGGGATAGGCTGGAGGGCAAAGGGAACGCGGGGGGGCAAACAACGGCATGAGACAACAAGGCATAACACGACGACAAAAAACAGTGAAGGATAGAGCATGAGGCAACAGGCATGTGAAGATGCAGCGGTAAACAACAAAGGCTGGGGGGCAGGGGGCAGGGGGCAGGGGGCAGGCTGGTGGGCCGGGGGGAGGCGGGTGGGCACACAACGGCATGAGACAACAAGGCATAGCACGACATGCAACACCGAAGAACGAAGGCTGGAGGGCACGGGAAGGCAGGAGGGAAGACCACACACAAGCACACAAAACAGGCAAACCAGAGAAAAAAAAAACGAGTCCCAAAAGAACAGAAAATTTAATACCAAAAAAATAAAAGGGGCAAGTTCGTTGGAGTCACACCCAACGTTCCGAATAGGCAATTGTAGCAGTTCCCAAAATGGAGCAGAAAAGGCAACCAGAAATCTGCCAAGCGCCACTGCAGGTAATGACTGGCGCACTTTTAGGCCCCCGATAAACTTGCACATTAATTTTGGAAATTCACACCATGACACCAGCACCACTTTGTATTTTCTTGCCTATTTCAAACTAAAAGTGTGTCACAGCCGCAGTTTCCACAAAATGGAAACTGATGTTGAGAGATTGTTTCGTCAGAGCTGCACTGACTCATCATCAGGCTGAACCCTCGACAATCTGTGGAATGGCCGTATTGATGGTTTGGGTCATGCACCCTTTGACCCCTGTTGAAAGCAGACAGTCCCCAAACGGAACACAACCCAGTGAAGCACCAAACAATAGAGCCAACACGGCTGCTCAAACCCAAAGACTACTGCAAGGAACGACATGGCAAGCCGATGCGCAGTGCGGCAACCATGCAGTGAAGCACCAGGCAACGCTGCCGAAGCAACCAAATGGCAGACCGGCAAAGACAGTCACTACTACAAGGAATGACAGGGCGAGCGGGCAAGCAGCATGGCAACTTTGTAGTGAAGCACAAGGCAACACCAACAAGGCAGACAAACCACAAGGCACACCGGCAAAGGACATGAAACTTGATGAAAGGCACGGCCCGCGGATGGGCGGCAAGCCAGCAGAGCAGCAACGCACCAGGCCACAACAACAACATGGCCACAGCACAGTGAACACAGCAGCTAACCAAGAACGACCCGCGAAGCACGGGGGACGGGCAGCTAGGCAGCGGTGGAGCGCAGACGAGGCAGTCCACACATCCAACATGGAGCAAAGTGGACCATCACCTGCTCACATCACGGGTGAACCCCGCAGACTGTTGGTTCCCACAACCAACTGAGCCAGGGAGTCACACTGACGAACATCCGTCAGTGCAGACATCCGGAACTTAGCAGCGGCCTTAAGAGTGCTGCAGGCACTCCAAACGAAGAATGACCGACTACTTGGCACTGCTGAAGGGTGTTCAGCTCGGCACACAAAAAGGAAAAATAGTAAGAAAGCATACAAAAAGAGACAGACAAACATACATACATAAAACTGGTCTTTTTTTTTCCTTATGTGTGTGTATGTGTGTGTGTGTGTCACAGAGAGAGAGAGAGAGAGAGAGAGAGAGAGAGAGAGAGAGAGAGAGAGAGAGAGAGAGAGAGCAGGCATTCTCAGAGACAAGTGAAGACTGTGATGCCAAAGCAGTCTCGAGAGAGGGAAATCAAGAGACCCAGACTTACCTGCATAGTGAGTTGAGGCCAGTGACGAAGAAGACAACTAGAGGGAGACTAATGAAACAGTTTCACCCAATTGGACCCTACAAGCAAAGACCCTGATATTCGATCCCTAGACCTACCCTGTACCCCTGTATATTGACCCTGTACCCTGTGTGCGATTTGAGCCCATGGGCCATGACCTGTCCCTAAGCCCGTAGGTTAGTTAGTAGGTCTATCTGTTAGCTATTAGGATTTGAACCATAAATTATCAACAGAGGATTCGTGAAAAACAAAAAATCCGTGAAAACCAAACTTTTTTTATAGGATCTAACGCAGAAGAATGTAGCCACACTTTTGACGGAAGAGGCAACAGTTTTTGGAGTTACTCTAAGACAAGGGAGATCAAAACCAGAGCAAATCACAGCTTTCACCAGGAGAAAGTTAACCTTGACTAAAAAATATGTCCGCAAATGCTCATTTTCGGCACGGAAGATAGCAGCGCATAGTTGAACGCCAGAAACAGTAACCAACCTGAAATGAAATTTTAAGTGTCGCAAGATCAACGTCAAAATCCGAAAAGAACAAAACATACGCACTTCTTATTTATAGTCCTATACACGACTAGACACTGTGTACGAAAATGATAGAAAAGACAGGTCGCAGAGCGCACATGCCAAATGCTCACCCTACGCACAACAAAATCGCTATTGGATGACCAACGTCGCACACAAACAAGCAGGGCAAGGAAATCCAAACATCACACCGATGTTTATAGTTCTATAATTCCGAACTCCATACAACGCCCCAAAATGTTGGATTTGTCAAAAGATTTTCTGACTTTTTTCGAGAGCTTGGAAAATATACGAAATGTCATGCACTTCTAGATCCATAAAAATTCTTAAAATACAAGTCAATTCAAGAAGAAGAAAAAACAACTTCAACAGATAGACTTATAGTCCTATAAATGCTTAACTATAGTAACAAGCAAAAAATTGGTTCGGAGTACTCCACCTGTACTCCAACGAACAGACTTATAGTTTTATAAATTCTTAATTATAATAACAAGCAAAAAATTGGCTCGATGTACTCCACTCGTAATCTCTGAATGTTAGTGCTCAACAACAAGCAAAAAACAAAATTTAAAAATACAGGGCACTTGGAGAAGAAGAAAAAACTACTTCAATAAACAGACTTGTAGTCCTATAAATTCAAAATTATAATAACAAGCGAAAACCAGCTCGGCATACTTCACTTCTCATCCCTGAATGTAAGGGCTCAGCAATAAGAAAAATATAATTCGAGAAAGACAGTTTATAGTACTATAATGTGAGTCTTCCCATTTGCCTCGAAAGACACCAGACAAGAAAACATCTTGAGCGCCTACATCTCCTCTTGTAGGAAAAACGAAAATGTCTTGAGAAATAAATTGCAGTTCATTATATTTCTTAGAACGCGACTGAGACTGGCCGCGGCCACTAAAAGTGCTTAAATTCTTAAATGTCGATAAGGACAACTATCCTAGTCTCCAACCTCACTTAGCCATGTTTCTTCGTTGTCTCTTACATCTTCGAGAATCGTAGAGTTCAAAACTAACTTCAGTTACTTCACCATTCACAGCCCGCAAATAACTTTGCCCTTAAAGTCGAGTGTTGTAATACAACACGCTAAAGCTAGAAAAAAATTGTCTTCGGTGATCTAAAGTTCGGAGTTGCTTCTGCATTTGGTTTCTAAAACGTTAGGTACGCTTCGCCTTTCTCCTTTTGTGCTTACCAAAGAACCTTCATTTCTTGTTCTTGAAGTAACTTTACAGTCTTTCTGTTAGGGTAAGGTTTATCCTGTTCCTCCTCACCTGGGTAGGATTGGAGTAAAATAATCTTGTCAATCTTCAAATCCTCGTAATATCCCACTTTTTCCATTCTTTACGGTTTGGTCTTTCCCGCAACAACATAAAATGACCTTTCTTGTGGAATGGGATCAACCAAATTGTGAGCAACCTTGTCTTCATCCAACGACTTTGTCTCATCCTCAGACGGTTCTTCCAAAGGTACTAGCGACCAAAAGGCAGTTTTTACTACTACAATGTG